TCCACAGCTTGAGGTGCAGTTCCCCCCAAGCCCCCGCACTTATCTCCTTGAAACTTGGCAGGCTTTGTGGCCTCAGCAGGGGCTACCACCCAGCAAGTTTCATTGAAATAAGACAAAAACCAACAAAGTTATAGATGTTTCATTGATTGAGCAAGGGGCCAAAAACTGCCACCCCTGCAGTTTTCAGCCTGCTGCACCTTAACACACACAGGGTCATCTATATCATGAGTTTTGCCTGTCAGCAACTTGAGGTGCCGTTCCCTGCAAACCCCTGCACCCATCACCTTGAAACTTGGCAGAATTTGTGGCCTCACCAGGGGCTACCACCCCTGTGGTTTTGACCCCACTGTGGCTTAAACACATACACGTGACAGGAGCTTTGCTTTCAATAATTTGGGGTGCAGTTCCCCCCAAACCCCCTGCACCGATCTTCTTGAAACTTGGCAGGCTTTGTGGCCTAAGCAGGGGCTAGCATGCCTGCAATTTTGACCATGCTGTGGCTTAACACGTATATGTGACACAAGTTTTGCTTTCAGGATTTTGGGTGCAGTTTCTCTGAACCCCCTGCACCTATCTCCTTGAAAAATGGCAGGCTTTGCTGCCTCAGAGGCTACCACTCCTGCAGTTTTGACCCGACTATGGCTTAACACATACATGTGTCATGAGTTTTGCTCTCAAGATTTTGGGGTGCAGTTTCTCCGAACCCCCTACATCTATCTTCTTGAAATTTGGCACGCATCATGCCCTCAGAAGTGGCCACCATTCCTGCAAGTTTCATCCAAATCTAGCTGGAAATGACAAAGTTATAGTCTGTTTCAACCTTCCCCATTATATCCTATGGGCAAAATGTTGAAACAGGGTCGAAATGGCAAAACGTTTCGATGGAACAAAATGAAACAAAAGTCAAAATGAAACACTGTTCTGTTGAAACATCGAAACGCTAGTCAAAATGAAACGCTTCCATTTCACACAGCCCTATTTGCCACCTATTGCCTTGCAGATGTACTCTTCCACGTTACTCGTACCTACAGTGCTGGAGCACCTGGTCTTCTTCCAGGGTCAGCCACAATGGATTACTGCCCACCTTTGCCATGACTCGGGGCAGCTCAGTCAGTCACAATGGCAGGAACATGACTCAGAGTAAACACAGTCCTTTTCTTCTTAAACTTGTCACCTGAATCTCTCCCCTCCTAGCATCCCGGGCGAGGGCCCAGTTCAGGTACTGAGAACCCAGTACTGGTTGGTCCTTAGAGAGACAAGACTACAGCCTTTCTGGAACCAGGACTTCTTTGCAAGCTTGGATGCAGGATTCAGAGACAGTAAAAATACCTGTAGCAATCACCGTTTTTGTACAGCTTATTTTCCAGTGATCCTGCACTCCCTCTTAGTGGGTAAAGCATTGCTACGACCCAAGTCAGATAGAGAGTCAAGACAGGCCTGTAATCCAGCCTTTTGTTGCTTACACCCCAGAGCACAAGAACATGCACTTGTGTTCATGCCTGCCTAGCTACCTGCTATAGCACCCTACCTATCCCCTGCTCTCCTGCCTGGGGTGTTACCCCAAATTAATTAATTAATCAATTCATTTACTAAAGAGGGAGCACAGATGGACTGATTTAAATCGGGGAAACTAATAAACTAATAATTTGGGGGGGGGGGCGCTGAGTGCTAGCATGCATGCATGCCCCCCTGGTGGGAAAGTCTCTGGAGGGTGGGGAGGGGGGAACCTGCCACCCCTCAACCCGGGCCCAGGGGGCCTGGAGTGGAGGGCCCAAGGTGGGGCCAGCCTTGGCTGCCCCAACGGGCTGAAGGGGACAGAGCCCCTGGGAACCCTGCACACACCCAGCCAGGCACTGCCCAGCCAGGGCAGCGTGGGGCTTGTCCAGGGGGCGTGGGGAAGCAGTGGCAGCTCCCGCCGCTGCACAGGTCCCAGAAGGCAAAAGGAGCTTGTGAAAAATGAGTGTAAATCAGTAAAAACCAAATAACTTCAATTAAAACCGAAAATGCAGAATGCTATATATAACATATGTCACTGGGTCACTTAAAGGTCACCAACCCATGCTAAGGACTCTGAAATGGTGTCAGGCAGGTCTAGGCTCTCAAAATGGGTGCCCAAGTCTACAGGTGGAGATGCAGGAGGAAGCAGGGTAGCAGCAGATATCTTGCATTTGCTAAGGCCTTCCCAAGATTCCCCTTGTTCACACCCAGTATTTATAGGTGGGCTATTTAAATCAACATTTCGCCTGGTATTCTCCAAGTGTCTTTGTTCTCCAGAGACTTTGGGACTGGACTGGATTGGACTGGAGGATGCCCATGAGCTGGACCCATTTCCTTGTGAAAAGTACAGTCCTGGGAGAGGAGAGAGGACTTCTTATCTCCTTCCCCTGCAGTCCAAGAAAGCAACATGCTCTGTCCTGAATTATTTTCACTGTGCTGGGTAGGCTGGTGATACTGTAGCCTGGATTAACAAGGCCACATTGCTCTAACTGGTGGCTGGATTCCAGTTGACCACGTATGACTCTGTTGTTCTCAAAAGGCCAAAACCCTCTGCTGTGACCGCTCACCACTGTCACAGCCTTTTCCAAAAAGCAGGTCTTCATTCTTGGTCCAGTCTTGATACACAAATCCTTCTACTGTTATTGCTAATAACTGAAATTCATCTGTTTGATTATTGATTGTACAGTAGCTTCAACACAGAATCATAGCTGGCAGGGGCCTCAGGAAGTCACATCTAGTCCAACCCCCTGCTCAAAGCAGGACCAGCCCCAAATACATCATCCCAGCCAAGGTTTTGTCTATCTGGGCCTTAAAAGCCTCCAAGGATGGAAACTCTACCATGTTTCTGGGTAACCTATCCCGGTGCTACACCACCCACCGTGTGAGAAAATTTCTCCTAATATCCACCCTAAACTTCCTTCAATGCAACTTGAGCCCATTGCTCCGTGTTCTGACCTCTTCTACCACTGAGAACAGTCCAACTCCACCCCCTTTGCAACTCCCCTTCAAGGAGTTTGAAGACTGCTATCAAATCCTCCCTCAGTCTTCCCTTCTGCAGACTAAATAAGCCAATTCCCTTAGCCTCTCCTCACAAGTCATGTGCCCTGGTCATTTTGTTGCCCTCCGCTGCAAATGGCAGGGAAAGCCCACTCCGGCACTGTAACAAGCGGGCATCCCGGGGCTGGTCTAAACATAGGCCTGCCCACTTGTTTTAGGGCTAGCTGCCCGCCTCCTCACTTGCCACGCCTTGATGTTAATAATTATAAAGATGTCACTCAGCAGGAGGCTGCCCATTTATCTGTCCCGATGACAAGGGCCTATATATACAACTCCGACCTGCCCTTATCGTATCCCACGCCCCGCAGATGTTCTGCGGCCTAACACCCAGTCTACTTATCTCGGTTGGGCTCCCAGCCCTATCTGCTCTCAGGGCTCCAACCCCTTCTGGTCTCTGAGCTTGCACCTTGGGCCTCCAAGCCCGCCTGTGGGATCAGGGCTCTGAGCCTTGTCCCAAGCCCCACTGGGCTGCCCCTTATCCCTGAGCCTGGGAGCTTCCATAATAGCTCCCCAAGGCTCAGGGCCCCACCCCGCCAGGAACCTTACCCGGCTCCCTTGCAACCCCAGGCTCACCTGCAAGCCTGAGCACTGCCACAGGTCCCTCCTCCTGGCCTGGGCCCTGCCTCAGCACTCACAGTGATCCTGGGCTCCCCCTGTACAGCCACCAGGGATGTGGGGCTGGGGTTAGAAGGAGCCCCATATGCCTTTCACCAAGGAGAAAACTGGCCTGGCATTTCTCCAGGACTGTCCTGCCACAGACAGTCCCACCAGGCCACCCTACCCTGGCAGGGTGCAGCTTTCAGTCATACCCAGGACCCAGGTGTGGGCTTCTCCTTCCCCATAGCCCCCAGCCCTTACCTCCAAGCTGTTCCATGTGGGCAGTGTCTAGCTGGCTGGCAGCAGACTGCTGCCTTGTTCAGGGCCCAGCCTTTATATGACAGGTGGGCCTTGTTTCCCAATCAGGCAGCATTGCATGATTGGGATAACAGCCAGCTGCAGGCTGCTGCCGCTCAGGCCCCTGCAAGTAGTGGAGCACCCTGTGCTGTGTTACAGGCACGCTGCATGGGGGACCAGGAGAACAGGAACTCTGTGATCTCTGCGGTGCCTGGTCCCTGTGACCAGAGCTGTGATGATGAAGGCCTCACATTTGAGCGCTTGTCTGACTGGATCCCAACGATGTCCTGGCTCCAATGCAAGACACTGCCCTAGGACATCCTCGCCTCAGGCAGCAGAACAATTGGCCCTCAAAAATGGGGTTCTACAACCCTGTGCACAGATGTCCAGCCACCTGAGGCCTCGCTCAGTGTCCAGCTTTGGATTGTAACATAGATGCACACCTGCCAGCTACTGGGGCTGGCCCCGAGCCATGGCACTGAAGCTCAGCTAGGTCTCCCTCCCCAGCTGTTGGGCTGAGCCTGGCAGACCCAGGCTTCCTGGGGGACTGATCCAGAGCCACCAGCTGCAGCATGTGGCCCTTCGCTTGGTGGCAGTACTGAGCCCAGAGGGGAAGAGAAGAGCAGCCTGGGCAGGGACCGCGGGACCAGTCACATGAGCCACCCTGGCACTAGGTGAAGCCAGGGCAGATGGGATGGTGGGAGGTGTCACAGCCACGCCATTCTCAGCCAAACCTTTCTTGGGAAGGTTTCCCTAAGGATTGCGGATGTGTGTGCCAGATGCCTGGGTTTTGTGTGTGCATCTCAGATGCCTTGATTCTGCATGCGTGTGTGTGTGTGCATGCATATGTGTATATGAACACAGGTGGGTGTCCCCTGGGACACCAGGGCAGGGGGTTTTGTGGGTCCCTGGGTGAGGGCTGGAGCTGGGGGAGGAGGGAGAGGGTGGAACTGGGGCTTGAACCCTGTGCCTGTGCCCCACTCCAAGGCCAGCAAAGCAGCAGGAGGCCTGGGACAGGCGGAAACAGCTGGTGCCCAGAAAGAGAAAGGGGACATGAGTTTTTTCTACAGGGGAAGGGGTGGGGAGAAGACAGGGCTGGGCTGGGTCAGGCAGGCTGTGGGAGCTCGTTCACAGCCTCACCCTCTTCTCGAAGCAGGACCAGGCTAGAAGCCCAGATCCCAGCGCAGAAGGCGTCCAGGAGCAGCAACAGGCGCCAGGGTTGGTGGGAGGGGGTAGGCTGCGTTCAGGTCCTGGCAAGTGCTTCCTCCTTCTCGCGCCTGGGCTCCACATCATCTCCTGCTCCATGAAGGACATCCAGCTGCACTTCTTCAGCTGGGCCCAGACCCTCCCTGCCATTCTGGGAGCCGGACTCTGATATGGGGCTGTCCCGGTGCGGGGTCCCATGTGCATCACAAAGGGGCCGGAATACCTTGGATGCCTCATGACTGCCCTGTGGCCAAAATCCTGCCAGCACGTGTCAGTGCTAGGGTCCATCCTAGATCTGCGGGGCCGGCAGGGACCTATGGGGTCACATCCAGTCCAAGTCCCACCTGAGGGAGGATCAGACCTGTCCAAATCGGCCCAGACAACCCCATGTCCAACTTCAGAGACACATGACACAGTTGCCCTGGACACAGCCCCAGACACTGCCCCTGTCCCTAGTAAAGCAGGAGGGGCTGCAGCTGCCAACATCTTGCTGCTGCCAAGGAAGTTCCTGGATGCTGCAGAGACCCCAGGCAGAGGCCGTGCCCCTGCTGCAGAAAAAGGCAAATCCCCCCAGTCTGGACCAGTCTGAGCAAGGGGGAAATCCCTTCCTGCCCCCAGTGCACCATCAGTCTGATCCCAAGCGCATGGGCAAAACCTTCTAGCCAGGGCCCTGCAGTGTTGGTCCCAGCAGGAGCACTGGCATGCCCAGTCCCCCTTCCCAGCCTGGGCTGCAGCCAGCACCCAGCACCCCTGGAGGAGGCTTAAAAACCCCTACACATAGAGCAGGAAGTGGGGGCTGGAATTTCCCCCCACCCCACACAGCAACCAGAATAGAAATCTGTCATTCACCCATGGCCTGCCCCCATAAGATGCAGCACAGCCTTGCAGGAAGCAGGAGGCTTTGCAGCCCCAGCCCCGGCCCTGCTTGAGTGCACACCCCCAGGCAGGTAGGTAGGTAATGGCATCCAGGACAAAACTCTTTATTAAGTGCTGAGGCCCCATGGCCCCGAGTCACAGCCTGGATGGGCAGGGCTGGGGCTGCCATCACTACCACTCTCCTGCCATCAGCCCCGTCTCTGTCCCGCTGTCAGTGACCCAAAAGGACTTGGAGGTGGCACTGGGACCTGGGGCCATGTGCCATTCTGCCCCCAGCACAGCATCGGACTGAGCCAGAGTGTAGGGGCAAGACCCTCTAGCCAGGAGCCTGCAGGGTTGATCCTAGCAGGTACACTGGCACAGCCCAGTCCCCATCCCCAGCGTGGGCTGCAGCCAGCACCCAGCATCTCTGGCGGAGGCTTAAAAACCCAAACATAGAACAGGAAGGAGAGACTGGCACCCCTCGTGCTGCTCTGGGAGGAGGCAGTGGCTTCCCCTCCTCCTGCCTTCTGCTCCCACCATGCCCGGGATCCAAAGCCAGGACCTGGCAGCAGGTCTGTGGGGGTTCAGCCTGCAGCTGCCCTGACCCCTGGCTCCTGTAAGCAGCTGCCCAACACCAGTGACTCATCCAGGCCTTGGTGCCGCTAACACAGTGCTCAGCACCACCAGCTCTGGGGAGTTTGGGGCCCTAAGAGTGGCAGGAATTCCTGACGTCCATCCCCGTTCTGCCAAGACTGGGGCTCCCTGGTGGCCTTGTGGTGGTAGGTGCAGCCAGCCATGGATCGGACATCATGAGACCTGCAGGGAGCAGAATGGAGGCAGCGTCACGCTTACACCCAGGACCTCACTGCCCTGCACACCCAGGGCTGCACTAACGAGCCCCAACCCAGAGAAAAGCCCAGGGCTGGGCACGCAGTTGCTGGGGCCCTGTGAGTGCCATGGCATGACAAGGGGCACTTACATGCGTGTCCGCAGGCAGCAGCGCACCTGGGCTCTGGGCAACGTCCCGGGGGGCCTTGGCGCCAGGCGGTCTCCGCTCACTCATCACACGCGAGATGGTTCCCAGAGCAGCCTGCAGGTCCCGCAGAGCGGCACCGCTCAGCCCCAGTAGGGGGGAGGCTGCAGGACAGAGGCACCGGGTGAGGCCACACACAGCCACAGCACGCAGAACCCCCAACTCTTAAACACACCTGCCCCTGGCTGTGGTACAGCTGGCATGGAAACCAGCATTACCCAGGGGCCACAGGAGGGTCCAGCGCCTTGCTAATGGCATCACAGCCACCCAGCCCCGCTGGGGCAGCGACAGGCAGGACAGCTGGACCCATCGGCAACTCCCAGCCTCTGGGCAGCCACTGCCAGGGCCAGCATCACCTGGGCCCCAAACCTAGTGGGGAGTTGCATCCTGGCCCCTTGGAGACCCCAGACTCAATCCATCAGACCCTGCAGAAGCGCCGGGCTCCCCTCCCAGCTCTGGCACTGCCCCCAGCCCCGCTGGGGCAGCGACAGGCAGGACAGCTGGACCCATCGGCAACTCCCAGCCTCTGGGCAGCCACTGCCAGGGCCAGCATCACCTGGGCCCCAAACCTAGTGGGGAGTTGCATCCTGGCCCCTTGGAGACCCCAGACTCAATCCATCAGACCCTGCAGAAGCGCCGGGCTCCCCTCCCAGCTCTGGCACTGCCCGGATGTCCTAGCTGCCTGG